CGAGCCGAACCTGGACCGGTTCGGTTCGGTTCGGCACGTGTGTGTGTGGTGTGGAGCATAACTCATATTTTCTTCTAAGCATAAGAGAGAAACGGAAGGCTTATATAAGAGAGAAAGGGAATGCTTATAAATAACCTATCTTCCCATCTCCTTTCTAATGTGGGACTAAACTTTTTCACTACAAAGTCAAGTTTTAAGTTACAACTTCAACAATAGTTTCACAGGGTACCGAAACTGTCTTATTGACCTACGTCTAGGGGTGCTAAATGATTCGGATATATCCGAACCGACCGCAACCGTATCCAATAATGATGCAGATACGGTAGCCAAAATTTGAAACCGATCGGATACGGTTTCGATTTCGGATATGATTTTACCTCTTTACTCGGATACAGTTCCGGATACGGTAATCGGGTTCAACTAGCGAATACGGTTCGGATATCCGGATGTTCATTTTAAGAAAAAATATGAATAAAAATATAATGCACTTGCTAGGATTCAAACCTCAGCCACTTAGTTATAAGGCAATTAACCTAACCGCTAGGCTACAAACAACCCCACTATATATTTGATTCGCATATTACTTAACTCAATTTGCGTTTTTCCCACTACCCTCCGTCGTGTCACTAAAATCCTAGCGCTATAGGCTAAATAAGACTGTTAAAGTATAGACACTTGTTCAAGGCTTAGATTAAATAAATGATTCCATCTGTATGTAGTATCTTATTCTATGTGATTATACAATTTTTTTGTCATATCAGATATATGTCTGAGTCATATACATTTCCTAAATATCTTATTTGTATCCGTGATTATAACTGTATTTGATTCTCTAATATCCGAACAGTATCCTTTTCCGTTTAGCACGGATATGGACTTGACTTTTTCTAACCGACGTATATCCATATCCGTATCCGTTTTTAGAAATCGGATATGGATATGGTAAGTGTCATATCCGAACCGTAACCAGACCCAATGCACCCCTACCTAAGTCTCATTGGAAGAGATTGTTAAAATCAAGGAGAAAATATGATATTCTCATTGATTAGGAGCACCAAGATAATATTTCATAGTACAAACAATTTGAGAAGTTCTAAATATGAAAACTCTTAATAAGAAAAGACAATGTATAATAAACAAAAGTCCCAAATAGCAAGATACGATTAACTTGTAAATTGAATCTCGGCACCTCTATTAAAGATAACAAATTACATAACAACTTCTAATTAACATACATTTCTCCTTATACTTGTTCTTCCCTTGTGTATTTTAAAAGAACATACCAAGGAAGAAATAAGAAGCAAGCATGCTACCTATGTTTTCATACATAAAACTATATCATAACTTGTACAACAAATCATGTTTTCTCTTCTTTGCCAAAGAGGACATAACTTTAACAGAAACCACTTTCTTTGCCAACAACCTCCACTTCCCATTTTCACCTTTGCCCTCCATGTTCATCTTCATCTTGAATTGCCTGCGCAAAATCAACAAACAGAGCTTAACTTCTTATCCCAACAAAATTACGCAAAAAACAATTACTTACTATATATTACGTACTTGCATAAAGGAACTCTGCAATCATCAGTGAACTGGCAAACTGAAGAATGCAATCGAAGGAGATTCCAAATGCGTCGACACTGAGAACAGGCTGAGCGATTTGCCCGACATGAAGCTAAGTGTTTGATTAGATTTTGAAGGACATGGCAAGTTGTGTAATTTGGACATGAGAGGGATTTTTGTTTGTTAGGTGCTTCTTCTGCTTCATTTGGGCCAACATCAGTGCATCCTTCAGTACAAATGTGTTGGAGACATTCCATTGCTTCACTTAGTTGTAAGTAGACCTGTTGCTCCTCCATCTTTCTCTTCCTCCTCTTTTGTATCTGCAATTGGGAAAAAAAATATTAATTACAGATGCACTCATCTTTGTGTTGCAGAGAGATCTCCTAATATTTTGACTCGCCGAGTTAAAAATATACCCCCCCTTAACAACGTTTAACAGAAATATAACTCTATTTAAACATCAGAGTCTCTTAGTACTATTAAGGGTAATAAATAGCTAAAATTTCCCTCAAAAAGGAATAACTAAAGCACTACAGTATAGAAGTGTATTGGCAATTAACCTTTGAAGACATAATCAAAAGTTTCAACAATCTCTTATTTAATCTTTACATGTTAATTGAGTTTTCTTTTTTTTTTTCTTTCAAGAGTGGCGACTTTGAAATTTAGAGTTATGTATTGTCTCATAGATAATTTGGTTATAGATACATTCTGGACCTCCAGAGAGTTCTGAAAGTAAGGTATATTTATATCAGAGAGCAAATTGAGCTACACTATGCGCACAAAAATCACCTGATCTTCGAATATGCTAAAGCAAAATGGTGTTAAATTTTTTCATCAAAAGTCAGCCCTCACCAACCAACTATATTAGTGCTCGGAAGAGTTGCGCGTTTAATAGAGTGCTAGACAAATGGTCGAAGGAATCTGCAAAAGACTAGCACCCAACAAAATTGCAAGGCAGGCTGCTTGGTCTGCCGAAAGTCCAACAAAAATCAAAAGATCATGATGCATCACCATTAGGTGTTTGCCCCTTTTGTCGGCTGCTCCCAAAGAAAATAAATTCCAATATTGCTGGAATCTAATCAATTAAGCGAAAAATCATAGCCCGCCCACTTTCTGCTAGTGATGGGGACATGGGATATTTTTCCAGGATCTCATGGTTAGTTCTCTGTCTTCCTCAAATTAGTTTGGTTTGGTTTGTAGATGCAAGCATTAACTAAATTATTTAGGGAATTTTTTAAAACTAAATCCTTCGTCTTTATTTTTTCAAAAAGTCAGTTTCATTATTAAACACAATAAAACCATTTCATCTATGCAAAAGAGTGTTTCTACTTGGTGGTTCCCTAAGTTGTCATCATTTTTTCAACAGCTTTTTTAAAAAATAGAAAAAAATAAATTCCATTAAAAATTCAGAATAACTTGTATGCTAATTGTTTTATGTGAACTGATAATGGTCATTTTCTGTAAAACAGGACATAGAAGAAGCAGTTTTTTAATTATTTTATTAATTGTTTAATTTCATAATGTTGCTAGATTATAAGATCACACCAAACTTCCATGGGGGGGGGGGGGATCCTATGGAGGGTGATCGACTCATCTTATATATAGAGGACCTCTGTAGAAAATTCTATAGAAAAGCAAAATGTGATGTGTTTCAAAATACATTTTAAAGTTGATGATAGATAGAATATTATAATTGCATTGATACTCAAACTATATGCATTGGCATGTACTAATTGTGATGATGTTGCATACTGATTGTAATGAATTTAAAATTGGTATTGATACATTCGTCATGTTCTTTTTTCTCCCTATATGATTTTCTATAGAGGGTACTCTACAGGATTTTCTTTTCTCAAAATTCTAACAAGAAACACGAACATGCTAAAAAATATTAACAAAGAGGAATAAACATACCGTGTCCTCTTCTTCAAGGAATCTCAAGATCTCAAGCTCAAACCAAGGATCATTGTTCTGCAGGAAAACCCAACCTTCAGTTTTCTCAACTGTAGCGAATTCTTTGCGCAATAATTTCATACACTGCAGGTAGAGCTTAGGCACATCACACTGCCTAGCCAATTGCAGCAGATCCACAACAGAATCAACAGTCAGTCTTAAGGCTAGTTCGGCCTCACAATAGTCCTTCAGCCATTTGATCCGGTAAACATGAGACAGCACCATTAGATGCATCCCATATTTGTCCATCGTCTCGCTTTGATCCAGTGATGCACGCCTGCGATCCAATAAGTTCGTTAAGAAAAAAATAAATTACACGGGATTAAGTAGAACAAGAATATTAGATATTACCGCAAAATTACACGATAACACATGGAAAGTTCATGGTAGTCATTTGTCATTGACATACAGTTCATGAGAATTTCTGAACATAAATAAAATTTGATTATACGTAGTGTCTTGATAGTTTGTTTTATTTTACAAATTATATAACAGATTTATCAAAAATAAAAAACATCATTTGAAAATGTGATGTTTTGTCTAACAAAAAATAGTTTATGATGAGCTTGTACGAGATCCCTTTTACAGTTCATGGTGGTTTAGTGAAATTTACTCTAATAAAGAAAAATCTACTTAAATGTATTAGGGGGCATGAATTATGGGCTATATTATTTTTCGTTCTCTTTGATAATTGAAAGTATAATATAATGAGCTCCAATCAGTTGAAAAAATTATTGACGAGGAGGTCACATGAAGACAATAACGTGTCCCTTTAACAAGAATAATTAACAGGAAATTTTCACTTATCAACCAACAAAAAAGGGAAGGAATCGAGACTAAACTAACCTCGGAGAACAGAGGAAATCAACAAAGGCGAGAGCAGCGCCAGAAGGAACTCCAAGAATTGGAATGGCTTTATCCAACTTCCCCTTCCTCCTCCGTCCCCCCTCCAAGATTTCCTCAAACACCGGCGACGCCGAAACCTTAACCCGTTAACAAAACCACCACCCAGAATAAGAAACAGAGGATAAGTTGGCTTTCGAGGGGGGGCAAAAAAAAAATACAGAGGAACGGAATAAAGTTTGTACCAGAACTCCGGAATAAGCTGGGATTTTTAACCCATCAGAGGTTCTGATGACCACATCAGGCTCAGGCGCAACGCAGCTGATACCCGAAGAAACCTTCATTCTCTCTTCAACAGCACCAAACTCCGCTGCTGTGACTTGTTCCTGCAGGGGGAGGGGGTCATATTTATAGAAGAGAGTTAATTATTGTTGATGCGAGGAGGACGCGTGGAAATTTTGGAATCCGAAGGATCTAATCAGGTTTTAACGAAATGGTTTTTGCTGTTAATGACGTCATTAGCTACGCGGCTTCGCTGGCGTTTTGCGCCCGCGTGGACAAGTTGGGCCCCCGCTTCGGTTGTTTTCTTTTCGGGAATGCGTGTGTAAATTGAGGAAGGCTTCTTCCGTGAAATGACACCCATTCCCGAAATTTTCGCACAAGCCCCCCCCCCCCCACCCCCAGTAGGCTGTTATCATTTTATATAACCCTCTAAACTTTAGGAGTGTCGCTTAAAAACCCTCCTTCCTAAAGTTTTGTCAGATAACCTCATTGACAGACACCGTTGCATGTAAGGCGCGTGGAGATGATGTGCATCCAAACTGAACAGAATACTACTCGCAGAAAAACCCTTTTCATATCCCTTTTAATAATAATTTTAAAGGTAATTTCATATATAAAATCAATCGTATGTTTGGTCTAGTTTAGAGATTTGTCTCAGAATTATTTGATTTAATTTAATAATTACAGTGTTAATTTTGAAATCGACTGGGGTTATCTGAAACACCCAAAACTTTAGGGGAGTTGTGTGTCATTTTTTAAAGCTTATGGGGGACATCTCCAAATCGGCGAAAGCTGTGGGGTTTCGGTGAAAATACCCCTTATCATATGTAGTTTTTGTGTCTTTTTCTTAGGAAATAGGTTTAGAATCTTTAGACGGGGTAGGCAGAAGGCTCCTCTTAACTCCAAGCTGGCCACGTATGAGAAAATTTCGCGAGAGCCTATAACTGGTGCTCAGGAAAAAAAAATGAGAAAAAAATGTGTAGTCGGCGCAGAATCATACCAAGCAACGAGCAACCTTTGTTTTATTTCCCATGCTTGATTTTTATTTTTATTTTAATACGCAAGTCATCTTCTTGGTGTTGAACGTTAGGAGTTTATTATATTGTCAAACGTTTTTGCTATATCAAAACACTAAATTCATTACTAGGGGAGAGGATTATAATATTACAGTTTAATCTAGAAATATGAAGGTTTGATGGCCTAATATATAATTAAAGAAGATGTAAGGGTTTAACATGACAAATATCCTACACATTTTCGACTGCCCATTAACCATGATCTCTATTATGAAATTGCTTTAGATTCATGGCCTACGAGATTAACTTGGGCTGCTGTTTAAATTCTTTTATTAAGGGTTTGAGGGTTATAATTTTACACTCTAGCATAATTAATCATCATATAAAATAAAGCTTTATATAAAAATATGAGATAGCAAATGACATTTATCTTTTAGATAAAATTTCTATTACAATTAACCATCGAATGACATTCAAACGAAAAGCGAACTATATCCATCTAGATCTTCAAAAACATGATTGTGAGGCTAGCTACACCTTTTTCTTATATTTATTCTTCACTTATACATTCGATGAAGAATCAAGCACCAAAAGTAGACGAAAAATACAGAAAACTAGTATATGCTCTCCAAGGTGTGGTTCTTATATAAAAACTATCTCATTCATAATTTGTTCAATAAATCGCCTTTTCTCCCTTTAGCTAGGGAGGACATAACTTTGACATTCACCACTCTCTTTGCCAACAACCTCCACTTCTCATTCTCACCTTTCCCCTCCATCTTCATCATCTTGAATTGCCTGCACATAATCAACAAAATTTAAGTAATTGTACTACTCATACCCACAAAATAAAGTACCAAAGTATAGTCTAATTATTTCAATTCAAAATTATACGTACTTGCATAGGGGAACCCTGCATTGATCAGTGGACTGACAAACTGAAGAATGCAGTCGAAGGAGATCCCAAATGTGTCGACACTTAGAACAGGCTGATCTATTTGCGCGACATGAAGCTAAGTGTTTGATGAGATTTTGTAGGACATGGCAAGTTGCATAATTTGGACATGAGTGGGATTTTTGTTTGTTAGGTGTCACCTTTGCTTCATAAGGACCAACATGGGTGCATCCTTCAGTGAAAATGTGTTGAACACATTCCATTGCTTCACTTAGTTGTAAATAGACCTTTTGCTCCTCAATCTTTCGCTTCCTTCTCTTTTGTTTCTGCAATTGAAGGAACAAGATTATTGGCCAGCGGAATTAATAAAAATGATGTACTTGAAGAAAATTAAGGTTTTGTAATTGTATGGCAAAAGACTAACAAAGATCAAAAGATTGTGATGCATCATCATCAGATGTCTGGCACTTTTGGGCCGGGGTGGACATCTACTCATTAATCAAGCTAAAAACATGTCTGGCCTACTCTCTGCTAGGATGGGAGCTAGGATATTTCCTCTGAAATCTCAAGTTTAGTTCCTTGTCTTCCTCAGATTAGTGTAGTTTGGTGTGTAGATTCAAGCTGTACGTAATTTGGCGAAATTTGATTCTCACAGCTTATAGGAATTTCCAAATTATATAACAGAGTTATCAAAAACAAAAAAAAAAACATTTATTTATAGTATTTAAGGTTAATTGCACAACACCACCTACAATATCATTATTTTAGAACCTTCTATCTCTATTTTTGTTGTTGCAGATAAACCTGGCCCATACTTTATATTTTTTATTCTTACCCTCATTGAAATTTTGACAAGTATTGTCCTAGCAAAATTAGCATAACTGAGGGTAAAAGAGTCAAAAAGAGTTTAACCCAGAAGGTCTGTCTGCTACAAATAACAATGGATCGGTACAGGTAATTGCACAACACCACCTATATATAGTATCATCGTTTTAAAACTTTCTATCTCTATTTTTGTTGTTGCAGGTAAACATGGCCCCTACTTTATATTTTTTACTCTTTTACCCTCGTTGAAATTTTGACGGGTATTGTCCTAGCAAATTTAGCATAACTGAGGGTAAAAGAGTCAAAAAGAATTTAACCCAGAAGGTCTGTCTGCTACAAATAACAATATTGAAACTACGGAGGCAATAAGTTTAAAATAATGATACTACAGGGGGTCTATGAATAATTAACTTTTATTTATACCATCTTTACATCACCATTTATGAAACACAACAAATAGGCAACATGAAAATTAATCAGGGAGCATTTTTTTTGTAATTTTTCTAATTTGCATCATGATGTAGCTAAAACAATGAAATCATATCTAAAGAATATGAACATGCTAACATACCAAATCCTCTTCTTCGAGGAATTTGAGGATCTCAAGCTCAAACCAAGGGTCATTGTTCTGCAGGAAAACCCAACCCTCAGTTTTCTCAACCGCAGCAAACTCTTTGTTCAATAACTTCATACATTGAAGATAGAGCTTAGGCACATCACATTGCCTAGCCAATTGCAGCACATCAACAACGGAATCAACAGTCAATCTCAAGGCTAGTTCAACCTCGCACAAGTCCTTCAGCCATTTGACTCTATAAACATGAGATAGCACCATTAGATGCATCCCATATTTATCCATCACCTCATTTTGATCCAATGATTCACTCCTGCAAATATAAAGTTGATCACAGTTCAAATGGGTACTAGAGATTAATGAAAAGGAAACTTATATCGAGGTCGAAATGCAGAAACAAATACAATAGCAGATACTGATTTACACTGATTTAACAAGGTTCGGAGCAAATCTCATGTCCTGGTATCATAGTAGATGACCTTTTTTATTATTGAAGGGTTAAGAAATAACACCTTTATATATATTCAAGAAAGTAGACATAATTTTTTATCATCTATAATTAAAACAAATCTAATCTTACATGTTAAACAAATTTACCCCTTCTTTGCGCTATATGGATTAACTACCTTAATCCTTAATAAAACTTAGGTTAAATATATGCCAGACCCCATCCAGCTCAAAATTAAATAAGCCAAAATTAAATAAGCAAGACTTTTAGTTTCAAATTATTTCATCAAAGCTATAAATGAATTGACTTTTTCAGTGGTCGGTTAGATAGTCTTGAACCATTATCCCCCAAGTATATTTTTATTAACGTGCCTCGTGAGTTTACTTTTGTAAAGCTGGCTTTATTATTATTATTATTTATCGAAGGTATTGTTTTCAGGAGAAATGATAGAGGCACACTCTCCACCACATCTCCAACCACACCTCCCCTCCTACTACAGTACACAGGGGCCCACTTGAGATTTAAATTTAAATCTCAAGTGGGCCCGGTGTACTGTAGCAAGAGGGGAGGTGTGGTTGAAGATGTGGTGGAGAGTGTGCCTCTAGTGCCTCTCTTGTTTTCAGAATGAGTCCGGATATCGACTGAAGGAGAGGCACGTGAAATGCAAGTTATGTTTTATTATTATTTATTTATTTATTTATTTGATGGAAACGCAGCTAGCTAACTGACCAGTCATAAGTCCGCCACGTTTCATTATAAGTTTTCACATTACTTTTCAGGCCTAATAATCTTCATATGTGGTGTAAGTTTGTAGCCTTTTGTCACCAAACGCATCTACACCAAATTTTATAATTGCACGTGAACATGAGACAGGTTCCTAAATAAATTTAGTTATAGCTACAAACATGAGGCCAGAAATATAAATACTATATTAATATTGAAAGCAACTTATGGATTCTCAACAACGATGACTAAACATCATTGACGCGGCAACCCGTAGGACACTCTTCTTTTCAGTCCCTCAAATCTTTGAAATTGCTCAAACATCTCTCTAATCCTAAAAGATCTTACATTTTGGTTTCTCAATGACCAAAATACCCCTTAGTGATTTTTTTTTTCAGCAATTGGGCTTTTGGGGCCCGGATTTGAGGGGCTTATGGGCAATTTCAAAGCTTTGAGGGGCCATATGAAATATTTAACACTTGAGAGAATAATATGTAAGTAACCCTAAATTATAATTGTTTTTAAGTATCTGGAAACAGTTGTAATTTAGTAAGTGATATTTTATTTTCCAACAATAAATAGAAAGCTTACATTTTAGGAGAGAGAAATAACATGTAATTTCTCAATAAATAAGAAATATTAAGGTGTGCTTCGTAACTCCTAAAACTGGGCAAGGTTTGAATCTGGTCCAATTCTAGAGCGATTTGTTGATTGGTAAAAATTAGGCCAGAAGTGGCCCGGATTACTTTAGTTCAATTTTGCGCATCTAAACTGGTTTAGTTGTGAACAAGGGGATAGTTAGTCCAAAACTAAACCAGTTCAGCCCAAAATCTATTTAAGGATCACATGTGATCCAATTTTTATAAGTTACCAAGCACACCCTTGGTCTTTGAATTTAAACTCAAAAAAAAAAAATGCCAACTAGCTAACGTTGTTATATCATGGAAATTTTATTAACTAGAGAAAATAGGTACAGAACATGCATAAAGTGAAAGGGAAAAAATGAACTTGAAGAAGAGAGGTCATGAGGGAAAAGAGTCCAAGCTGATACTAACAAACGACCCATTTGTATTGTTTAAAAAAAAATCTTTGTAGTCATCAGTTTGATCCAATCCTCCAACAAAAAACTTATCATAAACTTAATTATATTTAATTGGTGATTGTCTAATAACAAAGTGATATAAACAAACTTAAGCTTAAAACTGACCTTGGAGAACAGAGGAAGCCAACAAAGGCAAGAACAGCATCAGACGGAACACCAAGAATAGGAACAGCTTTATCCAACCTCCCCTTTCTCCGTCGCCTCTCGACTATCTCCTCAAACACCGGCGACGCCGAAACCTTCACCCATTAATTAAAACCACGAACTAGAATAAGAAACAGAGGATAAGTTCTTTAGAAAACAGAGGACTATAGGTAAAAGTTTATACCAGAGCTCCGGAAAAAGCTGGGATTTTCAAGCCATTAGAGGTTCTGATCACCACATCAGGCTCAGAGACAATGATGCTGATATTTTCGCATTCCATTTTTTTTGGGTTATTTGCTTATTACGTTTGGGGCTGGGGTTTATATAGAGAGAGAGCGGGAATAAATTGAGGAAAATGGGATAGGAAACTATAATAAAAGAGGGGGTCAGGAAATGATAGGAAAAGGACGGGTCGATTTGGAATCCTAAAAACAAAATGATAGGATAGGAAACTATAAAATGAGTGACTGTTTGTAAAAAGAGAGGGTCAGCAATTGTAAAAACAAAATAATAATAAAGTGATTTCTATAAAAAATCATATGGGAATTAGACATCGGAGTAAAGTTTATATTATTCGAAAAATGTTCAGACAGCAATGAAATATCAAAATTGCACCCCGGTATTGCATCTTCATTATTCATCAGAACGCCCTGCGTCGTGCACAATGTTCTAACAGGATCCTTACTCGTAGACAACGTGCCAGTATCACCTTTGAATTAGTGGAATCATCTATATATAAAAATGTAAACCATTAAAATTACTATATCTACTACTAAGTGCAATCGGTATATTAATTAGTATAATCGGCAACTTCAGGTGCATATTGATTTGCTCTATGAATTTATATGATGGGCCGATGTGGTTTTATTTTCTCAAAAGTTAATACTTTGCTTATTATTTGGAGGCGCTTTTTGACCAGCGTGGCTAATAAATTAGTGCCAAAGTGGCAATAAAGGGGCAAATACGGAACCAATACGCGGCCTTTCGAGGACGCAAGCGCCTCATAAACGCATTGAGGCTGATCTGGCAAATTTATCCAAATTGGTGATGGGGGATCCACGAAAGGAATGGATCGCTCATTCGCACCTCTTATGTTTGTTTATTAGTGTATTTATATTTTGTTTGAAAGTAATGAGATTATAGCATTGGATCTTTTGGATGTGGATCCTCCTTACTATAATAATTGATTATCTAGTAAGTGATTATGATTTTCATTTTGAGTACAAATTAGAAATGAGTGAATACACGGAATCCGGTTAGTATTAGAATTAAAATGCATCACAATTACCCACTAGATAATAAACAAAGAAATTTATTATAGTTGTTTCTCTACTCCTTTTACCTAGTGGAGAGGATCCAAATTTGGATCATTAAGACTTCGTTTGGATACTATGGTGTTTTTCTTGTTGTGTTTTTATAAAAAAAACACCATGGTGTTGTATTTTTCTCTTAAAATGTTTTCAAAACATCATGTTAAGTATTTTTGGTCAACACTAGTTTGACCCATTATAACATTAGTATTAACCATATTATTAATATTTATATATTAATTATAATAAAATATATTATAAATAAAATGTTATAATATGTAGTTTACATATTATTATAGTATTATAAGTATTAAATGTAATGCAATATAATATTATATAATGTATTATATATGTATATTTACTATTAATGCAGGTATATAGTATTATAATTATTACATATTATTTTCAAATAATTGAATATTTATTATTTTGGTATATCAATTTGTATATTGTTGAGAAATTATGATTACTTTTTATAATAATGTTTTATTAATTAAATATAATATGTATTACTAATCTTCAGTATAATATAATATTATTAATAATTTAATAATATGTTATTACTAGTATGCGTTATTAATAACATTAATTATGTATTACTAGTTATGTTAGTAATAAATTAATATATTAGAAATATTTAATATTATCATAAGTATACTTATAGTTAAAATGTTAGATTTTATAATAGTACTTTAATGAATATTTTATATTTATGATATTAAAAAATATTATATTATGAATATATTATTTTACATAACATATTGTTAGCAATAAATATATTTTATTAATAAAAATTGTATTTTACGTTTAATAATAAATTATCATATATTTTATTCCATAATATATTAATATTTAATCATTATATTGGCATTACTTATACAATATGTTATTATTATTATATTGTTATATTATTATTAAATATGTTACTATTATATAATATTTTATAATTATTAATTTATTACAATTTATTTATTAAAAAGTTAATAATATTATAGTGATTATACTATTGTATAGTATATTATTATATCATTATTATATTATTATTTATTATCAATAAATTTTTTATTATTTTTATTAGTTTATATATATTTTATTATTATTTATTTATTATATAATACATTATTAACATATTAAATATTGGTATTTAATATGTTATATTATTATATAAGATATTTTATTTATTATATTTTTATATTATTTAATAAAAATTACTAATATATTATATTAACTATAATATAGTATAATATAATAAGCATGTTGATAATAACTTTATATTAATTATATTTAATATGTTATGTTAGATATTATATTAACGTCTTCTCAAACTCAAAACCAAAACATCAAACTTAAAACACTTAAAAGGTGTTTTGAAATAAGTGTTGTGTTTTTGGTTTGAGGATGATTTAGCTCAACAAACATCATGGTTTCCAAACGCATGGTGTTTTGTTTTTGACAAAAACACCATGGAAACAAGTAAAACGCCACGATATCCAAACGGAGCCTAAGTTGTTATTTCTTATACAACTTTTATGAGTTTGATTGTAATGTTACTTATATTTAATCCAAACCCTAAGAAAGATGATCAATAGATTAGGGTGAATTTTAAAAAATGAAAAGGAAAAAAAAAGGTTTGGCCGACGCTGAGATAACCCCATGAACTTTAAAAAAAATGTCACTCGATCCCCTCACGCTTGAAATAATAGAAAAGCCAAATTACTATTTTCAGAGGAACTCTAGCTATTAAATTAATTACTCTAAATTGTGGAACAGAGTTTAGAGGGAGGTATCCCGAAATCGGGTAGAGTTCACAAAGGTTATATGAAAGCTACCCTTAACATTATTATTACAAGGTCGCAAAGTGGATATTTTCTATGAGGGGCATTTTAGCAAATTACGTACAACTTTTTACGTGCACACACTGATGATGCATTGTTACTTTGTTAGTTTGGAAAATACTAGGGGATATTTCATCGGGACAATTTGGGGTCAAGTGGGCTAATTGTTCTAAAAGAACAATTTTAACTCACTAGGAGGGGTTATTGGTTGGTATAATTTTGGGTTAAGTGGAATAATTTTTAGGACTTTACTTTATGGTGTTATTCATTAGGACAATGGAATTGATATTTCACTTTAATGTGTTATTCATTGTGACAATGAGATTGGGACAATTAACCTCACTTTTCTTAAAACTCTCTCACTTCTATACAAATTTTTTGTCCCAACCTCCAAAAATTTTATCATTCTTAACTTTGGGACAATCATGAGGAAAGTGAGATAATTTTGAAGCACTAATTTATTAAATATCTAATATATGTTAATTGTATCATAATATATAATATATCTTAATTATATTATATTATAAAATTTTATTATAACGTAAGATAATAAAATATTAAATAATATTATCTAATAAACATTATTATATATCATTATTACATATAACATTATTACAACATTATTATATATCATTATTACATATACCATTATTATAACATTATTATCTGATATAACATTATTATATATCATTATTACATATTGGTTAATAATATTTTATATATTATAATATTAGTATAATATTATTATAATATTACTTTATATTATTTAGTATATATTTTATTAGTTAGAATAAAAATATTATTGTAGTATTTTAATATGATAATATATATAAAACTAATATAAATAATATTTTTTTTAATTAATAATATTGAACATATTAATAGTATATTATGATTATTATAAATATTATATTTTAATAAGGAGCCATGTCATCAATTATTCTATTTAAATTATAGTAATTATCATAAAATAAAATAAAATATTTTTAATAATAATTTAATATTTTAAGTAATATTATATTGCATTAAAAAAAATATTATAATATTTAATTAAATATTATATTATTGAAATATTATATTAAATATATTGTTTGTATATTATATCAATTATTTTATAATATATCATAATATATTATATTAAATTAGTTAATAACATTAAATATAGTTATAATTAATTAGTAATTATAATATAATATATTATAGTTTAATATAAAGTAAAATAATATATTATATTATAATAACATACCAAATAATATGCAAAACTAATTAGGTAAATTAATTTAGACTTAATTGATAGATAAATATTATATTTTAATAAGATGTCACATCATCAATTATCCCACATGAATTATCAAATCAAAACTTCAAATTGTCTCATTATCCTAAATTATCTCACTTTACG